AGTACCATATCACCCTATTAGAGCACTTCGCTCTTGCTCTGCAGGCCTACTTGTTGTTCCTAGAGTATTTAAAAGTAGAATGGGAGGCAGAGCCTTCAGTGATTCTCACGTATTGGGTTCTGTCACTTCTGCAGCTGGTCCGTCACATTATTGCCACCCCAAAAACACTTCCTCTGTCAATTAAGAGTTGATTTCTTTTCTACTTTCACTTTGTTCTATTAAAATTCATTTGTGTTTCATTCAACTGCTGTTGTGTTTTGTTTTGTTTTGTTTTTACTTGCAGTGTTTGACCTTATAGGCCTCCTTATATTTTACTGCAACACACAAACCTCTGTTTTTTTGTTTTCTGTTTTTCTCCTACACAAGCAGGTGTTCAAAGTTAGCAGTCAATATTATTCTACTAGTAATAGATATGATGTCTTCATGTTACTTAGCAACCATCTACCAATCTAACGAAATCTTATGAAAGATTTGCTGATTTTATGTTCACAATAATAACATGTAATTACATGTAATACTGAATATATGGACTTTGATATCTTTGATATCTTTGATATCTTTGATATCTCCCAATCGTGTTGTCAGTAGTGTCAATATTCCATCATTTCACACATTAACAGCAGAATTTTCTGCAATAACAAACTGACTGAATGAAAAGTTTACATTTTATATTATTGTTTCTGTTTGCACACATTATTTGTTACATATTTGGTAAGGATATTATGGCGTCTGTAATTGATATTACTGTTCTATAAATGTGCCGTGTATGAGTGTTCAGGTACCGTTTGTTCCTGCGTAGCTGCGGTTGAAGCCTTTGTCGTTGATGAGATCGACAGATTTAGCCCTGGTGCCATGAAAAAGAAGCTTTTCGTTGTTTTTATGTTTATTCTTTGCCTCCATTTGCTTCTTCAGGATCTGGTAGTTCTGCCACAGTGTTGGATTTTGGACCCGTTCAATCTGCCAACACAATCCAAACACATTATTACTTCACATAGTTCTTACCTTCTTACCTCTGCTTATTTTGTCTAATGATGTGTGTATATAGATATTTATCTTTTTTGCTCAATCATGAAAACATTTCTTCCTTACTCCTTTTTACTAGAAGAAACCTCCACCTGGCTCTCTTTGTACATAGATGAACTTTGAAAGATTTCATCCATATGAAAGAGGTGTGCTGAGGCTGGCTCCAGCAGTTTCAGTCCCCATAGACTCCCATTTTAAATGTCCAAACTTTATAGCACAAATACATACGTTATGGTTGTGTTTTGGTCTCTATAGATAATCACTGCCTTCATACCAACTTTGGGGATGAGGAGGAACTTTTATATAACTTACTTGTTTGATTTATGTGTGTGCCGTTGGAGCCTTTTGGAGCATTGTCCTATTATCTCACAAATAATATGGCTGAAGTTCTGTTAATTATTCTAACAGAGCTCCAGTTTTGGGCCACAGGGAAATTATAGGATTTCACTGTGGACTCAATGATTCCCATGATGCATTGAGTTTTTCCTTTCCAGTCATCTTTCTCACTCAACATGTGTTAACAGACCTCTCTGCACTGAATCATACTTGTTATTAATCCAGTTATAAATGGTGAAGCTAAAACCAAAGCTTTAACCTCACACCAGTGAGTGATTCCATGGTGACTTCATCCATCTTTTATGTACAGCATATGTAAAACATTCGTTTACTATGGAGACTTTTACTAGTCAATTTTTTTAACCGTCACAGTCATACAGTCTGCTCCGTGTATTTGTGGCTGAACATACACTGATGATGTTAACATGAAGTCGATTCTTTGTCAGTTCCTGCTCCACGTTGTTGTATTCCTGAGATCCTCGAGTCAGAGCAAACAACTTCACAAGGTCTCCTTTCATGTCCTCCCAACAAGAAGGCAGAGGCAGAGCAGTGTCATCTGTAAAAATCATTGGAAGAGCTCAGTTCAAACTAACAGTGCATATATACAACATGCTGTGATTAGAGTTTCAGTGGAAGATGTAAAATGCGGTGGCTACAGACTGATCACCTCTTCTGTTTTCAGCTTATTTTTTCTGAGGTAAAACCTCCATAAAAGACAAAGTGCCTAGATGACTCACCCTTCACCTCTTTCCGAAAGAGCTCCATAGGAGGCTTCTTTGCTGAATTTGCTTTTCTAAGGCCTGGATCAGCGGTGTACGTTTCATTGTTGATCTTGATCTTCACCTTTTGTTTCTTCTCTAGCGCCTCCTCCAGTTTGAGGTTGGTGTAAATATCAAACGGCACCATTGAGCCACTGCGGCCTGGATACTGCCATTCTACCAGACTGCTCACTAACAAAGCCTGTCTCTTTGAGTTCTCCGCCCTCTCCACTTTCCGGATGATGTCCCTGATGGTCATCAAATAGAAAAAGCAGTTAGGACCTTGCACTGAACATTCTTGAAAAACATTCACGTCTCTGTTTGCTGACCTAAGTGCAGACTCAGCAGTGAACACGTCTCTGGTCAGACCCTCCAGGTGGATCTCGGGGTCCTGGTCTTCTGCTCCTTTGTCCAGACGGATGCTGACCGTCAGTTTCCTCTGCAGAGCCTTCAGCTCCTCCATGTCAGCCTGTGACAGCTGACTAATGAACGGGTCAGAGATGGTTTTCTGTGCCTGCTCAGCCAGAATCAGGTCATTAATCCTTTTCTTGGCCTGACTCAGAGCCTGCAGGGTTGGAGAAATCGTGGTACATTTTAGTTACAGGCATCGACACATTTTCTTAAACTCACAGAAATAGATTTATTCAGTGTTCTGGAAACATTTAATGTGCATCAGTCTGTCCAGTAATTCTACACAGGCTCTCTGACAGCAGCCAGATTTGTCTGTGAGCAATGTCGTTCCAGTCTGGAGAGAGAATTTATTTATTTAACTTCAACTTGCCTCGTAGCTGCTAACCAGCTGTCTGGTCTGGGTCAACTTATAGCAAAGTGGAGAGAGGCGTCGGAAAGTTGCACCAGCAGAACATTATTCCTCTGGAGGCGGTAAACACAGTGATCAGCTGAATCCTAACATTTCGCTCACAGCTGGGCCTGTTCGACTCTCTTTTGGCTGCAGCAGCTGCTACTATAAGCATACTTTTCTTCTTCTCACTCGCTGTGAACTTCGTACTGCAGATGTTACTCTCACTCGCACACACACTGCAGAGAGAGAGGCGGTCCCTGTCTTCGCCACAACATTCAACCGTTGGCACAGAATACATTACCCATCAGGTTAGCTACTTAAAGGGAAGGTTATGCCTGAAACATTTAACATTTTCTTAGGTTTATTTTTTCACCAAAGCTTGTGGGAGCTACAGCTGAGGGGAGCCGTCTTCTGTGTTAGACCACACATGCTTTGATTTGTTTTGTTCTCTGATTAGCACAAAGATTTGCAGTTTGACTTTGGGCACGTTGCTCGATCCAGATTGCCTTGCTACAATAGGCAGGATATGTTTGATTGTTTGCTTGTTTTCTATCCATCCATGTGTGTGCAAAAAATTAAATATTATTGGAATAAAAAATAAATGAATAAATGCGTACCTTGTTGTCGTCGGCACACAGCTGAAACACTGTGGGCTCGAACTCTTCCCTCTCCAGAACTAAGTCAACAGAGCTGGACTGAGCCGACCCGGATACCAGACCTGACATGAACTGGCGGACTGATGCTGAAACAATAATATCCAACGTGAATCCATCTGACAACATTTTATGTTATGATCAGAAGTTTCCAAACACTCATTGTGAGCATGAATGTCAGGGTAATTCTGGCCTTTTAATGATTTCTTTATTTTCAATTTAGTGATGATCATTTTCAAACCAATACACTGAATTTTAACTTGGGCTCATTCAAATTCAGTTTTAAAAAGCATTCAAATTCAAGTTCTGCCCATACTAAAACCCCAATTACAAAAAACATAGAAAGCAGATCCTTACACAAAGACATTTTACAGTTTCATTAACATTATTACTGCTTTTTTAAAAGAACACTGCCTATCAAATGCACCACTGCCTTCACCACAATGACCAGGAGGGAAATTAAAAAACATGTTAAAAACACATCAAGAGAGACTTACATCTTCAGGATCAAACCACAGAGATGTTCAGATAGTTCAAGTTATTCTGAAATGCCTTTTTGATTTTGGTCAATAAAAGAGCAAACATTGTCTTTTAGGAGAAATTTACTGGTACTTTTTAAGCCACCATAATCAAAATGAAATGGATAAGTAAACAATTTCCCATCTACAGTTGGGTTTCCCTACCAAACAACAGCGACATACCTTTGAATTTGCCAAAGACACTCCTCTCCTCCACCGTCTCTCCCTGTCTCTTCTTCATGCTCATGTGGAAATCGTTCAGCATGGCCGTCTGGAAGATCAGGATCTTCACACTCTGAACAAACCTCGGCTGTTTCTTCCTCACAAACTCCACCACTGCATCCACCATGGCATCAGCCACCGCTGAAGGGCTGGCCCCTCCCTGACCTGACAGGCAGACGAGGATGATGATGGTGATGATGAAAGGATGGAAAGAGGATGAAGAGTACACTTTGTGAAACTCAACAGAGCAACAATCTCACATCTGGCTGCAACATTCATTACAGCTCGAAGATGAAAGAGTTGGACAAAACCAACAAACTGATGGTTTTGGTGTAACCTAAGATCTCAAAGACTCTGTAGAAGGGATCTGGTTAGTTGGCGTGTTTCAGCTTAATATTAATTTGGTGTGACACAAACTCTGATGGGACCTTTGTCACAGTTCCTCATGCAGTAATGACCTCTGCACACTGCTGCACAGCAAATCAGTGAATACCATAAATAATATGTACAGACCTGTTCCCAGGGCAGGGAAGGCCACAGAGCTGAACTTGTTCTCCTCGCAGAACTTCAGCACTGAGTAAACCATGTTTTTAATGTTTGCAGGGTCGTTCTGGCCGATGACGTGCATGATGTTCCTGCTGGGCAGCTGCCCGGCTGATGTCAGGATCATTGCAGGAGGCTGAGCCATGGAACTCACTGCAGAGAGGAAGCACATGAGGCTTATAACACAGTGTGGCAGAATTGGTATTTTCCAGTCCAAAGCGTTACACGTTTGAAATATTTTAAAAAGTATTCCAATCTGATCCATAATTCTGAAATTCTATTTTTCACATCGGAACCTGAAATTTGGTAAAAGGTAGTAACAGCAAGGTAGTGACTTTACAGTAAAGATATTGATCGATATTGATTGTTAGTCTAAGCGATGGGCCAAACACAGCTGGACAGGGCTGTAGAAGTGCATCAACCCAGCAACAGGACTGGTATATGCGCCCTTGTGTGAGGAAGAAGAGGAGCACTGTCAAAATGACCTCCTGCAGGCTACTTGCACATGTTTCTGTGTGAGTAGCTGTACAAACTGTGGAAATGTTTCAGTAAATGCAAAATTGCAAAGCGGTTAAGTGTCTTATCATCTACAGTACATAATATCACCAAAAGATTCAGAGACTCTGGATAAATCTCTGTATACAAGGGACAAGGATGAAAACTGAAAAAACATATATCGATCATGAGTTTCAGTATTTAGTTGCAAAGAACCAGATGCAAAATTTAATGCTTTAATTGATTAAATAACTCACTCAATAAACTTCATCCTCTACCGCTTATACTTTTCAGGGGCGCGGAAGGTGCTGGAGCCTATCCCAGCTGTCATAGGGCGAGAGGCGGGTACACCCTGGACAGGTCGCCAGTCTGTCGCAGGGCCAACACACAGGGACAGACAACCATTCACGCCTATGGGCAATTTAGATGAATCAATTAACCCCACTAACTGCATGCCTTTGGACTGTGGGAGGGGGCCGGAGTACCCAGGGAGAACCCACGCAAACACGGGGAGAACATGCAAACTCCACACAGCAAGACTCGGCCTGATGGTGGAATCGAACTCAGGACCTTCTTGCTGTGCGGCAACAGTGCTAACCACTGTCCACAAACTCCACCATACCTGAAGTCATTTTAAAAATAAATAAAAAATGGCTTACTCAGGTATTAAAATTTAGTTTAAAAAAGAACATACTTTATAAATGTTATATTAAAATTCAGTGATGGAAACAAAGAATTATATATAAAATACAGAAATAAGGTGACACTAAGTGTAAGTCAATAGAAACATACAAACCTGTGCTTCCTCTGTGGGATTATAATATTATCTAATGCCATGTTAGACCCCTAATTAAAGATTGTGAAACTATTATGTAGTTTTAGTTTGCAGGATTCTCCTGAATTAGAAGAAGGTGAAAACTATTACAGTTATTAAACTGATTTGTATTACATTAGACTGCTGATTGAATGAATGATATTGTTTATGATGCATTATACTGCTGAGTTATAGGAAATACTGTTTTCGGAGAGTCAGGACTTTGCTGACTTTGCTTTTTCTGATAGTGGAGGAGACAGGGAGCACATCACCCCCACCCCAGGCAGACAAAACAGGGAGCCAAGGCCATAAGTCAGGCTCGCTGGGAGTTAGAGAGAATGTGAATGTTTAGGTTTTTACGACTAGGTGGGGGCCACTAGAGGCTAGGAGAGTTTGAGTAACCCTCCACCAGTTTGAGACTTGCTGTGACCCTCTTCATGCATGGCTCCCCATCCGGATGGTTTGTGCTCATAAAGTGTTGAATTGTATGGAATAAAAGATTGTTGATTGAGCATTTATACACCGAGTAGTGTCCTTCCTTCAGCCCAAAGATCGAAAGAATTGGGAGGATTTAACACCTAAAAACAGTTGAGCAAGAAATTGTGCCAGAATTGATTAAATGATGAAAATCTTGCAAATAGTTTTGACCAGTTTATCTCCAAAGGAGACAACCTTCCTAGGGCTATTACTCCTCCCGAGTGCCAATATAAACTGCATTTACAAGGCCATGCTCTTTTTTCAGGTTTTTCAGGTGGTTTTTTTGAGTGGAAAGAAATGCAAACGTAAATGTACGAGTTTGTGTTAGGACAATATGGAATGAGCTTCGAAACACTTTATAAATGTTAACCACTGTCATCAACAACTATCTTTAACAGGAATTTAATAAACTGCTACTAAAACATGTTTGATTCTGAACCCTGTGTAGTAAATATAGCTTTGAACTTTAAACATAGCGCAATATTTAAAGTTCATACTTAAATTCACACAACTATTTTCGTGTACGACTGTCTAGATCCGTTGGATTTGTATTATTTATTTAGTGATTTAGGTTGGCATTGTACGTACAGTGTATGTTGGGAATGATGTATTTCCTGTATATCATCTGTTTATGAGCTCTGGACAGTTTTCAGGGAACCTATTTCACAAATATCTACTTTACGTTTGATTTGTGAATAAACTGAAACAGACTTCAGGGTTTTGAAATTAATAAATTTTCAGTTTTAACTGCCTGGTGATGCTGAAAAGGGAGTCAAGTGTGCCGTTCCATGTAGAATAGAATAGAGTAGAATAGCCCTTCATCATCAGTGTACATGTACAACGAAATTGTAGGCACACACCGAGCTGCGCACACTCTCGCTCCACTGTTATTCCAGTGCCGTCCAAGATCGCCTTTGACACTCCTGAGAAAAGATAAGAGGAGAGCAGTAAGTCAGACGGTACATTGACTTTCTACAGTTAAATACAGACTTTGTGTTTTTAGCACTCAGAAACACTCACCTGCTTTAAGGTTAAAGGTCTGATTGGACGAGTTGACAATGACATCACTGGTCTCTTTGGTGATGTCACCTGACGACACCTCTAAGGCGAGCTGACCCATCTGCATCTGGTACACACCGAGGGAGGTGGACAAAACTGGGCCAAAAGTGGCTGAAACAAGCACACGCAGATGATTTTAGACCTGCGATTTTATCTGGAGGCTCGAAATAACACCAGTGACTAAGATCCTTATCTGTAAATAACGAGGCCTTTTCTAATCACTAATTAAATAGCTCAGCTGATTTGTCTTAAATGTGTTAAAATAAGAATTTTCAACTGAATAGAATTGATGGGGTTTAGTGGTTAGAAATAATTTTCCCCTCTTCTGCCTCATACCACTGGCCATCTGAGTCCGGCTCATAATGTTTTTAACGTAAAGCTAAAAAGCGACACCTGTTGCACAACCTTAACCCATCGTCTATTTACATCATAAAGACACGAGTTGTTACTGATGGTCGTATCAGGGCTGTTCTTATAAAACTGTGACTGCCATCATGTTTCTATGACCTAACTAAACTCTATTAAATCATCATATAGTGGTTTAATATTAAATAATCACTCATTGTAAAGTTTAAAAGGACTTCTTACCTGAGGAGTGTTGTGATTGGCTGACAGGCTGTTGAACTGGTGGCTCATTAAAATCATGCCGTTCGCGCTGGACGTTCCTCTGACCGGTGAACTCTCTGGTGAAACACTGACCAACAACAATATAACTTAGATGTTACTGCTATAACTGCAGCTCAATGAATTTATAAGTTAAGAGTTAGACTTATGTTCACACATTACATCATTTTAAACCTCACAGCAGTTGTAATTAGATTTTAAGACAACAAAATTCTAAAAGTAACTATTTGATATAGTCTGGTTTTGTCTGTTTCTAGTTCTTATTGCTTCCTGTTGCTATATTTGCAGGCTGAGTTAATTAAACCTTCTCATCCTTCTCGTACCCGTTTCATGTGATAAACAGTATGTACTGTGTGTTACTCTGTGCTTTCACTCACTAACAGGGTGGGTTTGCTTGTCTCTAGTGCTCACTGTCAGAACATGATAAGCACTTAAACAGCTCCTATCAGAGTCACAAACTCACATCCACGGTTTGGCTGTCACTGGGGTGAACGACGATGACCACCTCTCTCAGACAGCGAGGGTTTCTGCTGCTGCTGTACGAGCGGATCTCCCTCAGCAGGAGTTTGGACACCAGGGCTCTGGGGAAGCTCATGTGTCCTGTCCCGATGGCTGGGAAGGACAACGATGTCATCTGACGTTTCTCAGCCTCCACCAGACAGTATCTGATGATGGACGTTAACTCCTGACAGAGATAAGACAGAGGACGTGAGGCTGGACTTCAGTGACGGGTCATAAACAGTATGGTGCATATGTTGTTGTTTTTTTTTAAGAATTTTAATCACTTCAAGATGATGGAGAACATGTTTCCATCACATGCTACCGTGGCTGAATTTACTTTTTGGTGCCACTAGGTGCCACCTTTTTCTTTTGTACAGCTGATTCACATCAGCAATTACAGGTGTTTAAGCCCAGGGAAAGGTGAGCTCTGGGCCAGAGAGCCATGTTGGTGGTTGCAGCTAGTGATGGTGAGATGAAGCCTCGTGATGAACTGAAGCTTCCATCCAACCGGTCGACTCATGGTTCGAAGCATTGTGGTGATTCCTTTGTTCTACTGCGCCATCAAGTGGACGATTCAAGTGAAACAGGCTCTGTGATTATAATGATGTGACGTGTAAACCTCTAAACTGAATAAGTAAATTGTTTTCATGGTTCTTTATCCCGAATATTGTCTCAGGATGTCTGATACAAACGAGAAAGTGGAAACTATCAGGACAGAGTTTTGGCATGATTGTGTAACTGTGTAATCATGCTTATGTACATCTGGATAATGACACAAACTAGTGTGTGACGCTTCACTTTTTAATAAACTAAAGGACAGAAATCAGATTATAGGATCTGTAGTGTTGTTGATTTATTTATATCATGGTGTTTATCATTCGTGACATTTATTACTGTGTGCATACTTTATTAGGAGAGATGAGATAAAAAACATCTCTTGCTGGTTCCATCGAAGAAGAAATGCTCAAGTAGCTACGTAGCACGTACGTAATCCAATTCCACAACACAGTGTGATGGGGAATCAGCTGTGTTTTGCTGCCCATTTTATTTCGAATCTGGCGCAAACCGACGAGCCAGTTCCTGAATCAGTCACATGGTACGGACTGCCCGCGAGGCCTCGAACGTCACTGCATACGTAATCAAAGCGAGCCTCGATACGCGCTTCACAAAAACTCCCCCGAGATTACCCGACACACAGGACACATCACTATATGCGGCTAGTGAGCTGTATGTTGTGATTGCTTGCTCAGTGGAGAGTGGGTTTGGTTACTAATGTCTGTTTGACTTACTTTTCAGTTTACTGACCGATGCTTGAGTTTTGTTTTGTTTCTTTAAATGGTGATAGCAGCTTGTCCGTCTCTTTTAGTTGACCTATCAATAGAAACTTTAATAAAACTCTTTAATTGAACGCTTTTGCCTTTTTCTTCTTTTTCCGACCCGGACACTTTTTGTTACTTCCCCCTCACCGCCTGGACCCTTTTAGGGGAACGTAACACCTTTAAATATCATCTCCCTGCTTAATCGTATCTACACCCATCTGGACCACAATATGTACGTCTCCCACAGTGTGTGTCTGACAAGGTGATCAGCAACACAGGGGACTGTCCTCTCCCCC